TTAGAAATATAGTCATTTGAAAATATGAAAAGACAAAGGAGTTTCAAATCAATGTGGTGCTTACAAAAATGATTCTATTATATAGATATATAGATATAGATATAGATAGTGGCAATTGTATCTGATGTTTCATCTCTACAATCATTGTTGTTTATAGACTTTTTATATTTATATTTAATTTGGATTGTGCATGATATTTTGTATATTTTGTATAACTATTCATCAATTATATTCATATATTTTATCAATTATCAAACACATTCATTTTATTCAACACAAAACATAATATAAGGGTAAATTTATCATTTTCAGCAGTCAGAATAGTCAGTCAGATACGTAATCAAACAACATGGTTTCAGTCATATCCAAATACAGTCAGAGCTTTAGACCCACTAACTCTGTCACCAACTATCAAAAAACCCTAAATTGATACTATTATTTAACTTGATTACATCGACAAATATATACATTTTACAATATAACATTGAACTTTTCTTTGAATCACTTGAACTTTTCTAATATTAAAAGAGTAAAAGAATCTTAGCTAGCATTTAAAAGACAACGGCGGCAACCGATTAATCGTCTTCTACCCGCCCTCATTTTATGAAATTACTCTTCAACGACACTCTTTTAACTCTTTTGTCATTTTCTTCCTTACATACACGCACGAACACCTTTCCATTCCGTACCATTCTCTCTATATAACCTCCCTACCTCCACCTTCTTCTTCTTCACTCCTCCCTCCTCCTCCACCTACACTTTTCAAACTCTAATGGCGGCTCTTTCTATGCTCGATTCCAACTCACAAATGGACAAACTCACCTCTGAAATCTTCTCCATTCTCGAAAACAAATTCTTGTTTGGTTACGATCATCCTTCTCCCACTACTACTCTTCCAATGGAAGAAATGAAGTCCTCCGGCACCGGAAAAGTAAGGGTTCTTTCCATTGACGGTGGTGGCTCTACTGATGGGGTGTTAGCCGCCACGTCAATACTTCATCTTGAATCATCTCTCCGTCGTAAATCTGGAATCGCCGATGCTCGCATTTCCGACTTCTTTGATGTTGTTGCCGGCTCCGGTGTCGGTGGCGTTCTTGCAGCGTTACTGTTCACACGAGGGAAAGACGGTGCACCGTTGTTCACCGCAGACGACGCGCTTAAGTTTGTGGTTGACAATGGACACAAGCTTTCACGGTTTTCCAAACAAGGGATTTTCCGGCGGCTTTTTAATACCCCGGCGAAGGGCGGGAAGGTGTTTCGCCGGACGTTTGGTGATTTATCGTTGAAGGATACTATAAAGGCGGTTTTGATTCCTTGTTATGATCTTACCACCGGTGCTCCGTTTGTGTTTTCTCGTGCTGATGCTGTCGAGATGGACGGTTTTGATTTCAAGATGAGCGATGTATGTTCTGCCACAACTGCTGTAAGTGGGCCAGTCGCGACGGTGTCGGTGGACCGGAGAACCAAGATCTCCGCCGTCACCGGTGATATTGCGATGAATAATCCGACGGCTATGGCAATCACTCATATTCTCAACAATAAGCAAGAGTTCCCGTTTTGTAACGGTGTTGATGACTTGCTTGTGGTGTCGCTAGGCAACGGAGATCCCTTCTGCGGTGTCGCCGGGAATCAAACGCCGTCGCGCTCGGCGTTCGTTAAGATCGTGGGTGAAACTGTTTCTGATACGGTAAGTACTTTTGCATTAAATATTGCGTGAATGTAAAATCTCTACAGTAGTTTAATGCAGTAAAATTTAATTTAGAAAACGTACAAATGCATGGGTAAACTCGTCACTTCCAAATTCCTATTGCATAATAATTAATTTTGTTGATGGTGGGATACCACTAAAACAAATATAAACATAAAGTTTATTTATATATACCATATTTAATATTTAATATTAAAGAATTTAAAGCTATAAATTTTATCAATTACAAGATCAAACATGATCTTATAAAAAAACAAGAATATTTTAGGTGACACACTATTATTGCCACCACCCTAGTGAGGGCCCTTAACCATGTTGACACCGTCGGTAGGGGTTATTATGTAATTATTGTACCTAAAAACTACAAAAATTCAATGCTAACAAAAACAAAACTAAAACTAAATTGGTTTTACTAAAATCAATATTATGTATCTAATGAAAACTAATGTATATATATTTACATTTTTCAGGTTGATCAAGCAGTATCAATGGCATTTGGGCAATCTCGAACGTGTAACTATGCACGTATTCAAGCGAACAAGGGTTTTATACATTCTGATAACAAAATAAAAGAAAAAGATATGTTAAAAGTGGTTGAACAAATGTTGATACAAAAAAATGTGGAATCGGTGTTGTTTCAAGGGAGGAAATGTAACGACACTAATTTGGATAAAATAAAGTTTTTTGCAGCTGAAATTGTTAAGGAAACTGAAAGAAGAAGAACCGATATATTGCCTACTGTTGTGTTGAGGCAAACAACTACATCATCTTCACCACGAACATCTTCTGCGACAACTTTATCTATCACGTCTTCAAATTAGTCTTCAAATTATGGTTGGGTTCAAAATGGAACTATGAAGGTTTTTTCTAAATATTTAGGGTTTGGATTTTAGTGTACAATTATTATTATTAATAGGGGCTTTGATTATGTATATAAAGAGATTTGAGGTTTGTGATGGAAATTTTTTTGTTCGATCCCGATTAATGTCATGTCGACTTTAGTGAAATGAGGGTTAATTATGTCTTTTACTAGAAAGGGATCTTATAGAATTTAGATGTGTTTTAGGTTTTGATTGGATTCAATAATTCAAGAATCGAATGAATGTTTATTTTAATGTATTAAAGTTGAAATGTTTTGGATCTATTATTCTTTTCAACATAACAAAAAGTTTATAAATCCTCAAGTTTTGTGAAAATAACCGTTGTAAACAAGAGATTCTTGAAAATGATTGTCATATTTATTATATTTTTTCCGTTGATCTCTTTTTGTACATCCTCGATAACGATAGTGTCTTTCTTTTTCTTTTTTTACAACTAACTCTTATTAAAATAGATTTGAACAAATTATAAAAGAACTACATTTCTTTCTATAAAATCTCTTCTTGAAATCCAATTATACGATTGCTACACCAGTGGAAAATCTAATATGTAGCACAAGGTAGTACAGGCTATCCGTCAATGTAAACTTAGTAAAAGTTTGTTGAAATCTGTCATAAATCCATTTAGTTTTATATAAAAACTGTAAAAACTTTATCTAATGACAATTTATCTAGTGACAATATAAATAAAAGTTGTATCTCGTGGCTGTTCTGATTCTATCATTACTTTATATAATGACACTTTATATAAAAACTGTAACATGTTTAGTTTTTGTATAATGATATTAAAGAAAGGAGCTTCAATAAACTAAAATTGCAAGAAAATAACGAGATATCAATTGTGATAATGACACTATAGATTGTCATTTTCATTTAATTATGCATTTAGTTAACGTAGTCTTTAAGTTTTTTTTCTTTTCTTATTGGTTTTAATATTACTTTGGATTGTTTATTACGTTATACTAACATGATTATCATAATTCATAAATATATGATATCATTAAACATGTAAATAAGAGTGATGGTAACAAATATGTCACAAGGTTGATGTTGAGGGATGTGGGCCTGTGGGGCACATGAACTTACTGGGCTGATTTCCCTTTTGGGCTTGCTTTGATTTGATTATTTTCCTCATTTAAATTATTCAAATCATCATTGGCCTTTGAGCTTTGAGATTGATTTTTAAGACTTTTAATATCTTCATGTTTCTTTTTTTAATATAAAATTAGATGTGTTACGACTCAAATATAGTTATATAGTTAAAATTATAATAAATATATTTCATTAAAAATATATAAGTCATTATCATTAATTTTGAAATAATTTTTTCTCTAAATTGAAATGTCGATGTAAAATATAATCATTATCTAGAACAATGTGATAACATAGAAGCCCGTCTAATATTTTTAAAAATAAAGAAATGAGTCTCTTATCTAGTTAAAGTTTGTATTATACATAAAAAAAGATTACTGAACAATATTTATTTAGATAACCTCTATTATAAGAAATCTTGACTAATTTCATTGATGTATTGTATATAATTACAACTATTAAATGTTCTACTAAGATCTTTAAACAATTAATTAGATCGCTTAATTCTACTAAGATCTGGTTTTGGAATGTGTGTGATTGCTAAGATTGACTAGTAATAGAATGCTAGATCTTGTAAGCTCACGTTGTCGACAATTGAAAATGTAAGGTTGTGAGATGGATTAGAAATCCATCAATTTTTGTGGATGGGAAGAGCACAGTCGAATCTAAATGGGGGAGAATCGTCTGGACTAAGGGTTGCATAATAATGGATATTTAGGTTTCATTGCGCATCAGTAGTGACACATGGTGGGTGTGTGATCAGATACATGTTAAGGGTTGTGTTAGAGCCTCTATTATTGTTCTTGTATGAATAAGGCTTTGGAATTCGAAGCATAACCCAAACACCTGGTTGTGATATAGTCGGATGCGGGTTCGACTCTTGATGATTATGGTTGGTATGGTAGATGAACGGAAAGACCATGGGTTGGGACCATGGAAATATAGAAGTGGTGTAAGACTGCGGGGTAGCCGTATCATTCACTAGATTGGCATATAGTGATAGAAGTGTTGTAAGACTATAGGGTGGCCATAGCATTCACTAGATTGGCAGATAGTAATAGAGGTGTTGTAAGACTGCAGGGGTGGCCGTAGCATCCACTTGGTTGGCAGGTAGAATTGTAGTGTTGTGAGACTACGGGGTGACCCGTAACATTCACCTGGCTCTTGAGCAGCTGTGAAAGTGTTCTAAATCTATGATTTGGCTCGTAGTTTCCTCGAGGTGGGATTAAACCATGATAGGGCAGTATTGTCGGAGGAATTTTCTTTGTGTTGGTATGAGGACCGTTGGATCCGAGACGAGGTTAGGCCTATATAGCACTCGATTGGGTGAGACCCGTGGGTGAGGCCCGTTTGATTGTGCAGATTGGGTGAGACCCGTACGCGAGGACCGTTTGGTTATACTAGAGTGGGTGAGACCCGGTGGAAATTGGCTTGAGCAAGGTATTGGATCACGTTTAGAGTGGGATGACTTTGTGGTCAATGGTTGGTATTCGTGTGATGGTTAGGCTAGAGTAGCCCTTATCAGTTAGATTTTTTTTAGCCAAAGCCTTGTGGTGGGACCAAATGTGAGACTGTCAATCTCCGCGATTGATTGGGGAGTTTACATCTCAACTCAATGGGAGGTCACTATGGATGCAGGAGATCTCGAACAGATCTAATTTGCGAAACTTTTGTTGGTTATCAGGATGTGAGTTTTTAGAGTGGTTTGGCACTTAGGTGTGAGACTTGTGTTGGGAGTCACCCTTGACCTCAATTGAAGGATTCATCAATGATGAATGGTTGGTTATGTTATCCTCGGTTGGACCAGGAGGGTTGTTGGAGCCATTAGGGCAGGCGAGCTAGGACAACTCTTTCCAGATAGACCCTCGTTCAGGAGTCGCGTAGTGCAATTGTGTGAGCCTATTAGCCTCAACAACCAGTTGGAAATCCGATATTTTGGTAGATTGGCAGGCGAGCACGAGACCAGGGAGGTCACGGTTGCATCAAAAACGTAATTATGAGACCACAAGATGAGCTTGAGATGGTGCCCGTAATTGAGACTCGTGTTAGGAGTCGCCTTGTTATCAAGTGAAAGGTTTTCGGCAATGATGAATGGTCAGGGATTCTATTTCCCAGTGGAAACAACAAGATATCCAGGGTTCGAAGGGTTTATGCTCAGCTGGATTACGAGTGGAGTCGAATTGACAGTGATTCAGAATGGTCCGTCTGTCGGGGAGTTAGACAAGGTTTGGGATTTTGGATTTTGGGCAGAGTAGTAATGGTTATTCTTCAATGGTTAACGCTAATAGGGTAAGGATCTGTTTATTTTTAGGATATGAGACCCCTTCTAAGGTTGGGTTCGAGTATAGTTTTGGGAAGCTGTTGTATGTATGAGTCAACTTCTCAGTCCGTATCGGGGTTGTGGGAGTATCGCCCAGGTTTTCGGGTGTCTGGAAGGTAGTGAGGAGTGATTTCGAGGACAAAATCTAATTCAAGTAGGGGAGAGTTGTAACATCCGGTTTCTCCAAGGAAAAAATTTTATAAGTAATTATTGAGTTTTTGTTGACCACGATGTGGTGAAGGCTCACCACGATGTAGCCATGGAGGAATGTTCGCGGGACTTTAATTAGTCCCCACGACATGGCATTATTGGTCATGACGTGGCGAGCGGTTGAAACGTTAAACCCTAATTTCTTAGGTATTTAAAGGAAAGATAGAGGCTAGCCCCCCCCCCCCCCCCCAACCTCCATCACCCTTAAACCTCTAAGTTTGTAACCCTAATCTCCTTTGAAGTTTTTGAGCTCATTTGGGCCTTTATGGGTGGTTTTTAGCTCCTTCTTGAAGAAGAAGACTCTGTTGGTGTATTTTTTGGAGCAAGCAAGCTTCTTTTCATCATCTTGTGTTGTTGTTGGAACTTTGTAAGTTGTCAAGCTTCTACCTTTCTCTTTCAAGCATGCTAGATCTAGGTTTTTGTTCTTATTTCTTCATGTTGGGTTGATTGGAATGCATGAAGTCCATAATGTTGGCAACTTTATGGATTATTAAGGTCCCCTTGCCATCATATGTTTCATATTTGGAGTTTAATGCTATTTTGAGTTCCATGCATGAGATTTGTAGTGATATTATTTCGTTTTGACCTAAGTTGGAATCTAGACTTGTTTTGGGCATGCATGTTTGAAAAAGAAATGATCTTTGGAATATTTTAGACCTTAGTAAGGATTCTAGAAGGTTGGAAGGAAAGGGATTAACATGTTAAGGGCTAGATCTGTTAAGCTGCTGGAACCCAGTTCCCACGACGTGGCGACTGGGGAAAACCGACTATTTTTTCGTGAAGCACCCACGACGTGGAAATGTGAGGCCATGAAGTGGTGACCTATCCAGCTGACGTGGACCGTTGAATTTGACCAAGTGTGACCTAGGGGTATTTTGGGTATATTAAGTAGAAGTTTGAGACTAGGTCCTTGGTTGATGTATAGGCGACTTGTAGAGTCAGCAGTTAGAGTTGTGATCTGTTCAACTATCTTTTTAGCGGACTGAGGTGAGTCTCCTCAAGGCACCAATGTCGGACTATTGCAGGCAGGGCCTGATGAATGTACCAGGCCGGGCCTAATGGCGGGCGGGGCCTGATGAATGTACCGGGCGGAGCCCGATGACGGTCAGGGCTTGATGTATGTATGTATGCATGATATGTATGGTATGTGATATTTTGGGGAAATCACTAAGTTTTGTGCTTACAGTTTATGTTTATGGTTTCAGGTACTTCTGGTTCGAAAGGGAAGGGCCCGACGTGACTGTACAACATCCCCCATAGTTTTATTCCGCATTGATAATTTTTTCTCTGATGTTTAAATGCTATTTTTATCTTGAATGGTTTTGAGAACAATTTGTTATATAAATTATTTTTTTTTAAATGAAAACTTAACCTTGGATTTTCGGGACGTTACATCTGGGTTCGAGTTTTTCATGAGTCTTTCGTCTTACGAGCGCCTTACAATCCCACACCTTGACATATACGAGCGAGGGAGCTTTCCTTGTCCACATCCCATGAGGTGTTTTGGCAACCTTA